AAGTGAGGGATTCCTGGGAGAAAGTGAATTTTGTACATACCTGTCTGAATATCACACAGAAAACCTGATGCTCACAGTGCCATTCTGGAACAGAGACTATAACATTTACTTGTTTCCCTTTCTTCTGTCACCAGTGTTCCATTCCCTTTCTCTCTTTCATATTTATGCCCCCTCACACACACACACCGTTTTCCCCCCTCTGATGAGCATTAGCAGAATTCTGGGACCTTGTCGATTTGCTTCCAATAGAAGAGAAATCAGCAACCCAGAGTTTGGACAGATTCCAGGTGTATCTTACTTTATTTTCATATAGTCACCAGCCAAGAAACACAGGTCATCACAGACAGGTAGACAGCAAGGGAGAAGGAGGAATGATTATTAGGGCCTGGGAAATGGGACCAACTGAGGGTACGTCTAGACTACAGGGTTTTGTCGACAGAAGTTTTGTCAACAGATACTGTCGACAAAGCTTCTGTCGATAAAGAGCGTCTAGACTACATTCAGTTCTGTCAACAAAGCAAGCTGCTTTGTTGTCAAAACCCTGTAGTCTAGACACAACCCTACATGCAATAACACCTTCTGTCGACAGAACTCTGTCGACAGAAGGCATTATGCCTCGTAAAATGAGGTTTACCGGCGTCGACAAAACTGCTGAGTTCTGTCGACATTATGTCGACAGAACTCAGCGGTAGTGTAGACACAGGTATAGTTTTGTCGACAAAAGTCCACTTTTGTCGACAAAACTCTGTAGTCTAGACACACCCTGAGAGAGAGAGAGAGAGAGAGAGGGCCAGAAGAGATGAGAGTAGAGGAAATTCACTATAGAGCAAATTTGTGTGCTAGGAAATAAGATCTGACCTAGCTGGTGGGGAAGAGAGATGTCCACAAGAGAATCGCCCTGCTCAAATGTAGCACTTTCTATGAAAACTTGTGAGAATATCTGCCAAAGGGAAAAATATATTACTGCTCCAAAGTAGCAGTTCCATGAGACTTCTTGTTTAAGCTTCAGAATTGTAAATAAGTACTTTTCCTCCTTAGTATTACTAGGTATAGCAGTACAAACTACTCCCTGATTCTTTAAGATTTCTGGATGACGTTTTTGAAAAGTTGTATTTCTGAGCTCAGCACGTATGTAACTATGTCTTAACTATTCCTGGTTTGTTTCAGTTTTTTTGTTTTGTTTTGTTTTGAAACCCATTCCTGGCATGTGCTAACTGAATGGACAGCAAAACAAAACAACAACAACAAAAAGCAGGCTCCTTCAATAACAATGGCCTCATACATTGAATTCCTATCTGCAGTGGATTGAGCTAACACAGCAGCAGCTGAAGTTTTAAAAATGGTGCTTTTGAAAGGCCTAAACAAATGCAATTATGGATAGCAACAGAGAAAAATGAAACTAGTTGGCACGACAACTGGAATTTCTAGGTGAAGCCTTTTTTATTATTGCTGTAATTATCAATGAATTGTAGATAATACGATTATTCTAACTACCTCAGTGCGAGCTATTTTTATTGTCATATGTAAAGTCTAAATGATTTAGAGACTTACTATGGTAGAATGTTTCTTCTCGTTTGATGCACTAAGGATTCTCTGTGTGTGAGTGAGAGGGAGAGTCACTCACAGAAAAGTATAATGCACATGGAGGTGGAATATGTTAGTAGAGTGCAAAACTGCTCTTCTGTTTTAGGATTTTAGCAATTCTATTGAAATGGATAATGAATTCAATTAAAGGCCTTGTTCTTCCTTCCCTTATGCCCTGCATATCTCAGAGTCTTGCATAATTTAAACAAAAATGTGAAATAATACAGCTCCCTTGTTTCAGTTATGCCAGTGTTTTCTCTCCAAGATGATGGAAACCATCTCGAGATGCATGCTGACCACAAAGGGTAAGGGTGTTGTGTGTCTGATTACCAAAAGAGAGTTTCTTCCTTGGCATTCAATCTGGTGACTATGGCTGGTATATTACACACATTAAATAACTGTGAGCATTGAGTATATGAGCGATATACTAGCAGAGAGAGATCAACAGATCTGAATGGTTTTGGACACTCTCACGTTTAAATGCTTGAGGACAAAATTTTCAAACCTAAACATAATCCCAATACAGTCTCCCAAATTCGTCTTGAAGCACCTAAACCTACACATCCTGATTTTCATAGCTCCTAAAATTCACAGCTCCCAATAAGTTCAGTGAGATTTGTGGGTGCATAACGCCTCTGAAATTGGTGCAACTTGAGAACCTGACTATAAAGATAATAGTCAACTTAACCAGTAGGATGGATTCTTTGTTCACTACTTTTTGTCTTTTAAAATGCCAGTCTATGCAGGACAAGCATGGAGAATCCACCTCTGCAACAGTGTTCTCCTCTACCTTTTCTACTGGCAGCCCACCTACATGGAACAAAGTGGCCATAAGTGGGTGATTAAGCAACCAAAAGATTTTTTTTTTACCAGAGTACAAATTCCTTTGCCAAAAATATTGCTGTTTGGTGTAAATAATTCCACCCCTGTCTCACTGCCCCACTGATTTATCTAAGTCTAAAACGGAGAAGTGTTACAGCCTAATCACTGCATTCCCTATAATTACAAAGGACAGGAAATCATTCAAAAGAAATTGAAGGAATGTTAAATACTAGGAGGGCTGCAGCCTCTGCTCACTTGCTTGCCAACCCCAGTCTCTGTCCGCTTTCATGGCTAGAGAGCCTGATGATGTCATTCTATCACGCAACAGGAAAGACTTTTTTAGAAAGAGAGAGAGAGACCATTAAAGATCTAACCCATGGTTTCCAGCTTGGTAGTCTGATGATTGAGGACCAGTACTGTAATCGGGATTCAGTTGGTCCTTACTTTGAAAAAAAATTCCATTGATTTCAGCCGGATTATAGGGCTCCAGGAATATGTTTTCTTCTGTAAAACTCACCAAGGAGATTTTAAAGACTTGATTTTGAAAGGACAGAATCCCATGACTGCCTACAAAAGTGCACATCCCCAAGGACGGTTCTTAAGAAGTATTCATCTTCTCTGAGGTACCTCTCATTAGGGTTCCAAATGAATTTGTTGAGGCTAAAACCACATGACCACATCATATTTCAAATCTACTCTTCTGTTTCACTCAGACCACAAATATTGCATCTTGCGTCTGTGCCTCTTGTTTCCGTCCCTTTCCATAGCATGCTTAAAACTGCTCCACAGCATATGAGAACAGATTTATAGAAAACGTGTGTGTGTGTGTGTGTGTGTGTGTGCGCGTGTGTGCGCATGTGTCTATCTGCCTGTCTCAGAGCCTACACACAGGTCCTCAGATGGGGGGATGCATAGGGGATGGGCCCGGCTATCTAAAAGGACTCAAGGCTCCCAGCTCTCAGCCATAGGCCCTTTAAATAGCTGCCAGAGACCCTGGCTGTACATGCTCTGCAGCTCCAGCAGTGCTCAAGGGCTACCTGGGGCAGCTTGCCTTCAGCTCCGCCTGCTGCCTGAGACCACGCCCCTTCTGGGAGGCCTGGAGCCAACTTCTCTCAGGGCCCAGCAAACTTTCTCATCAGCCCTGCCTACATGTCTCTGTATCACATTCACAAGACCTTGGCCCTTTGAAATTCCGCCTATTTGCAGAAAATAAAAGTCCATTTTTCTGGAGGAACTCAGAGTTATTCACCCTACAGGCCAAGAAATCCCATACAGTTCAGGAGGAATATTGTCTTGTTCTGTGAATATCACTTTTCCTATTGTAAATTCCTCAGAGTTTTTATTGTAGAATTAATAGTAAATTAATCATTCTTCAGTGTGCTATGCTGGGGCCCTCTGTCACAGATTTTTCTGTATTGAATAAATAGTGTTGTAGGTTGATATGTTTAAGGCAAATGAGATGCTTATGGCTAGCCAAAAAGCCAGTTAACAAGATCCATTTTCTTCTATTGACTTCTACTCATGTATTAATGAATTTCAAAAAATCTCTTTTCCTATGTGTATCAGATTATGTATGCCTATGTCATTCCTAACAAGTATGCAAATATTTGTTCCATTTGTGTTTGTATTATGTGTCACTGAAGCTAAATCTTTCAAAAGGGATAAATACCATATCCATTAAGCCACTTAAGAGGAGGGGTTTTGCAAAAATGTGCCATGGCTAACATCCATATTTAGGGAATTGTGTGGCATCAAATCCAGCATTTGAGAAAGAGAACAGTGGATTTCTCCTCAGACAAACAGAGCAAGACACACATTCAGAAAATTTCCCCAAGTAAACAGGCACTGAATTGAATAGTAGTTGGAGAGAGTAAGAGTGAGAATATACAATACATAGTGGAGACCACATGGAGAAAGTATAGGGAAGGAATTTGACACTGTTGCCCTGGTCTTCAAAAAAGACATTAACTGGTTAATGCACTACAAAGCCAATTTCCCCAGTTTCTCCTGCCTTTAATATTCATATTTTCACAGCAAAAGCTTTGAATGGTACACATCCAGCCCACTTAATTAGCTTCATTAACACAGATCCTACAATTGACAGGTAAATTCTTTTTTGTTGTTTTATATATCTTGGATTCTGTTATTTCCACTCAAAACTCATCTGATGAAGTGGGTTTTACCCACAAAAGCTCATGATTATATATGGTGCCATAGGACTGCTCGTTGTCTTTGTAGGAAGGTAGCAAGAGATTAACAAATATAAGATTCAGGAGTGCTCTTCAAATGTGTATCAAGCTGTCCTGCAAAAGGGGAGAAAATGGATTTCTGCCTTCTCCCCCTATTTTATGATGAATAACAAAGTCCTGAAAGGTTGAGTTTTATTGTTCCTATTCC